TCAAATGGCCACTAGGAGGTCTTCTTCCTTTGCTCTCGAAGGGGAAGAAACCAAAGACATTCTCCATAGAGATGCTATTCATTAAAAATATGTGGTAATGCTTTTGTGGAGTGCTAGCTCTACTATTTCCCTCCTAATGCTCCCTGGTTTCCTGGGAATAAAACCTATTAAGCAACCCCTCTGTTTGAATTGCCATAGCAACTCACTCACAATGTCAGTGTCCTATTTCTCCCCCTTCATCCCACCCAAGCTCTTGTTTCTGAGCTGACAGCTGTGATTTGAATGCTCCTTGAACCAAATCTTTGCATGTAACGCTGCTTTGCGAAAGGAGGAGGAGGAAGAGGAGGAGGGGTGGAAGTAGCAGCAGCTTTTAATCAGAGCTTGTTGAGCTCTTTTATTTAGGCTTGAAGGGTGCAGAAGGGGCTCTTAACGCTGTACCCTCCTTTGCCAATAGTAGAACAAGTTTTTATAATGACCACAAAAGAGAAAAAGAAAAAAGAAAAGAAGCAGGGGCGGATTCAGCCATCATGTAGATTACATACATGCCATGATTTCATAGGAGCACAGGAAAACAAGATCTGATCTTGTGTAAATCTAATTGCTTGAAAATCTCAGTAGATTATATATATTGTTTATAGTCCTTTGGTTTTTAAAGATGTGCCTGGTTGTGTGGATTATTTCTGAAATTTCAAAAGCCTAAGAAGGGACTGAAGGAGTTTTTTGGAAATTAGGATTTCTTCAAGACCCGGTCTTGTTGCTTGCTCTTCCCAGTGATTATTTAAACAGATATAAACAATGCAAAATAGTTTTAAAATTATAAGAAATTGTAGAAAACAGACAATTTGCAATGATCCCAGAAATTCATTATTGCTATGCAGAGAAATTCTTTTTTGATTTTTCTTACCAGTTCTCATTTAAATGGCTGAAAGGACATATGTTTTAGAAATTTATTCAGAAGAGAATCCCAAAGAAATTCTTATGGGTTGAATGTGATGTGTGCCCTTGCACTTAATTTAGTTCTCAGGTGGCCTCTGGATATGTGTGCAAATAAAAAATGTATGATCCACATGTCAAAGATCTGCAACCTCCCTGGCCTCCCAGGCTTCAATTCCTAGTTCTAAGGAAAGACGTCAGAAGGGACTCCTGCCATTGGCTTTTCAGTAATAGTATTACTTAAGAAGGAGTGAAATAGTTGGAAAAATTCTAAAAAAAAAAATAAAAAAAATCATCCAACTAATTTTTCTGCACACAATTTTGGTGGAGAATTTTGAAAGATTATATGTGCCCATTTGTAAATTCTCCACAAAGCTGCTTTATATCAAATCAGAATAATTTGCCTATTATAGTAATCCCTTTCTGAAGAAACCTGACAGTGTACATGGTTTCTCCTTTCCATACACTATGACTGATTTGTATCCTCTAACTAGCTTCTTGGCTATAATGCAGGACACACTTTCTCAATCTAGTGCTCTCCAACGTATTACAATACTCATCTCCTACAAGAACCTCAATGAAGATTATTGGAATTGACACCCAACTCTCAGGCACCAAGATAGGAAAGGCTACAGTCTACACACATACAACCAGCAACACATCACAAAGGGCTGGAAGCATGAGGCACCACTACCTCAGGTTTGTCTGTTTGTTTGCTTATTGATTTATATTTCAAATTTGTCACTGCCCATCTCACTGCAGGTTGTCATTCACATACATGGGGCAATGTAGTAGTGATGCTATGAGAAGCTTTTTCTTCTGAAGAAGACTGTTCTGCACTTATTGATCATTTATTTTGCCCCAGCTGGTTCCCAGTTGCCTTCTAATGTACTACCTGGGCTCGATGCTCTGGGACAATGAGACAAACAAAACTCTCCCCCGCCCCCACCCAATACATTACACCTACATGTAGGAATGTTCATGCCTGTGCATTAGAGTAAACCAAGTCACTTTTGGATGGACTGGATGGAATGTGTGAAATTTGAGTGGATATATGAGCCTCCTCTGCCTACCAATCCTTATGTAGCAAAAATTTTGCCATTCTCACACAAATGAGAGCAGATGGACATGTGACTAAGTTTTAGTAAAACTGTTTAGAATATTTCTGATCAGAGATACGAGAGAACAGCACCGCAATGGGAATCTAAAAAGAACTGTACTGTATGGTATCTTCAACCTGAACATGTTAACTAGGCATTTTACATGGAGAATAGCCCAGGCCTTGCTAGCTTTGCAATGGTTAGGCTCATTTTTAATAGCCATAAAAGGAAATGTTTTATTTTAACTGTTTATGTTCCTTACCACTATGCAAGTTCTACCCCACTTTAAAATAGAACAATTTTGGTTCTATACTGTGGAGTAGAAGTGCAAAATGACTTTTCTCTTAGCGGTTTCACTTTGCAACATCAGACAATTGTGACTGATAAGGCTTCTAGATATGTGTCATAAAAGTTTCATTTGTACAACTGTTGGGGTGTCTGAATTAGTATTCTGTTTCGTTATTCATTATACAGCAGAATAGAGGACCCAGAATAAATATAATACAAAATGACGCATTGGCTTTTGCTATCAGCAGAACTGAATGTCACATACAAACCCTGCAGGCAAACAGGATAGACAGAAGATGGAGAAATCTGAAGTGTCAGGGTATATGGGTCATCTAGAGCCGCCTCATGCTATCTGGGGCAGCTACCCTCTGTTTTCTCTCCCTCCTTGAGTGCTTGCTTTCTCTTCCTCTGCTTCCCCCCACATGATTTAACACTCTCTACTTTCTTCCCCCACCTCCTTTTCTATTTTTCTGGACCTTTGTATCTCTGCTCCTATTCCTTTATCATCGCTAGGTATCAAATATTTGTCTTTTAAAAACAGGAATCCTATTATATTATTACACCGTACCCCATGCATTTTAGGTTTTGTGATGTCAGACACACAACCTTTCCAATCTTCAAGACGTCAGGCTGGAATACATTACATCTGAATCAGAGTATAGCTACTCTGAGCTTCAACTCTGAGCAGCTTTTTGCTTTCTGTGGTAGGTATAATGTACTTCCTCTGACCCTGTGAAGCAGAGGAAAGCTTAACACTCAGCCAGTATCACCCAATTGCTAACATTATTACAAGTCCATCTCTTTGTTGTTGTTCAGTCGTTAAGTCGTGTCCGACTCTTCGTGACCCCATGAACCA